GAAGAACTCATCAATATCGCTTTCACTGACGAAGCTATCTTTTACTTGGGTAAGAATTATAAATTTGTGTCAAGCAGAATGAACTTAATATTACTGTTGTTTTTTTTTCAAACAGATGCAAAGAAAAGAATTTTTTCACACTAAAACTTAAAATCGATGTTTAAATAATAAAAAAACCACGTAAGTTTTATTAAAAAAAATGAGTTTAATTAGTTGAACAAATTTTTCGTTTTGCAGATGTAGAGGTTAATTCACGTAACTGTACACGGTACATTGGATCCAAAAAGAAAGGGAGTGAAGGCAGAGCTGGTCTTGATGGAAACTTAATCCACATGAAGGAGAAACATGCAGAGAAGGTAAATTTAAACCCAACTTTACTCCAGGTTCCAGTATCCATTAAACCCAACCTTACTCCAGGTCCCAGTATCAATTAAGCCTAACCTTACTCCAGGTTTCAGTATCAATAAACCACCCAACCTTACTCCAGGTTCCAGTATCAATTAAACCCAACCTTACTCCAGGTTCCAGTATCAATTAAACCCAACTTTACTCGAGGTTCCAGTATCAATTAAACCCAACCTTACTATAGGTCCCAGTATCAATTAAACTCAACCTTACTCCAGGTCCCAGTATCAATTAAACCCAACCTTACTCTAGGTATCAGTATCTTTGGTCTTTGTATTTTTTTTTGCAGAATTTTAAATAATTATTATTTTTTTCAGTTGATGGTGTTTGCCGGTACCTGTAAGGGAAGACTCTTTGGTTTAAAATTTATACACGGAAATATGAATTCCCAGATGTACCAAGAATTGGTTAAGGAGAAGTGCATTCCTCAGTTGATGGCTGCAAACAACAGATCACTTGAAGGAACCATATTTCATAAGTTTTAGAAAATAAGGAGACACTATTCATCCTTTTTTTAAGGCAAGGCCAGGGAAATGATGTTAAAGTGACTGTAGACGTAATTTCAACGCACCAAAAATTTACTTTTATGATTACCAAAAATTTACTTTAAAACTTCAAAGTTTCTTATGATCTTCTAAAAAATCTAAATATGGTTTTAACGTAGGAATAATTTGGCAACAGGACGGTGCTACCATCCACAGAAATCCTAGATTCATGGAATACCTAGACCATCAATTTGATGGTCGAGTTCTTGGCCTTGGTGCTGACCTTAGGGGTCTCAGGGGCTCCACGGATCCCGGACTTGAGTGTCCTAGACCTTAGTATCTGGTCCATAATGAAAAGTCCTCTCCCCATCTCCTTGGACGAACTTGAAGAGCGAATCACAGAGGTGGTAGATCAACTTAACGGAGATCCAGCGCTGATTAAAAGATGTCCGTCAGCGTGCGGAGACGTGCACAGATGTGCATGGAGCAAATAGGGGGCCATTTTGAATTCTTGAGATAAAGAATCCATAAAACTATGTTGTAAATTTATTGTTTAA